CATACCCTAAAATGCACCTTTTAAATCACTGATCCTCCTCACCTCTAAACTCACACAGGGCGATAATGTTATCTGCAAATTGTAGATGAGAAACCACTTTACTGCCCCTCCCCACCCTGGAGCCCCTACACTGTTTTGGTGTGGGCCATGGGAGTGCCAATTTGAGGAAAATCCTGAATACAGATACAACCCCAAAATAATAAGGGTCATGGCCAGCCAGTGGGACAATAGGAGGTAAGCTTCATATTTGAAAGGGGAACAACCAGGATCACTAGCTAAGGACCCTAAAGAATTGCTCAGTGATAAAGAGGGTAAAGGTGTAGAGAAACTCTGGAGGTTTGCCTAGAAGTAGCCACCCTTGATACAGTGTGTAATAGCTCACTGATTGAGCACTCTTGTCCCAAAAATGAATGGAGCTAAAGTGTTCTGCCAAAGCTGTGTGATGTCAAACTGTATTGGTAGAGGATGTTCTGCCTTAGAGGGAAGTACCTCTACAAGCAGGCAGGTAAGAATGAATAATGGCATTCCCTCTGATCAGCCAAATTGAGGATAGGGTTCAATAATTCATCCACCAGGTTAACAATAGAGAAAAGATAGTGTTTCCTTTCCATTATTCTTTATTCCTTGGATAGATTCTTAGTTAAAAAATATGCCAAAATCTGCCTTATCCCTTAGAAAAAAACCAATCCACATGGAGTAAATCATTACTGGTAGAAGTGTTCATTCAATGATACTACTACTGAAATATTTACTAGCATCCAATTCTGTTTTCTGCATAATGCACATATTTCCATCTTAGTAATTTATAGTGATGAGAATGATTTCAAATATTTGGTTTTTACTTTTCCTACGGAAGAATATGAATGGCATGTTGGAAATGGTTCTCTTGGCCATGTGTGAGAACCTTATGATGCATTCAAACTTGATTTATTTCCTGGCATGCCTAGGTAACAAAGAAGTCCCATTTATTTGTCATAAATGTGCAAGGCACCTGTGTTGTATTGATATTCATGATCTGACAGAAGAGGGGTAAGTGGTTTTGGAGATGTACTACAACTGCTATTCTTTTGTGCAAGTGGGAACACTAGGACTTTTAAAGAGAAGCTACAATCAAAGGAAGCTATCGTAGAAAACATTTCTGTTAAGTCATAAGATTGGGCAAAGGTATTGGATGCCTTCCCTGCTTTTATCACTCTTGACATCATCTAGAATTGGCAAACTGTGGTCAACTCCTCGCTCCCTAGGAGAGCATCAAACTTATTATGGACACCACTGCCTTTCAATCTAACCAAAATGAATTTTAATGGCTGTGGCATAGGTAACATGGGAATCAGGATGGAATGTTTTTCTAGAAACAATGGACATATCTTGGCAGCGTTTTCTAAACCATTGGGCATGGTGACTCCATAAAGGCAGCACTTTTGGCAGTCCAACAGGGCTTGAAGCTGTCTAAAAGTCTAAAACTTTAGGAACTTATTAGTGGAAGGAGATTTCCATGGCTTACAAAGGACAATGGGCATGCCAGTATAGAAATGAAACCATGAGCTTCCAATCAGTATTTTTGATCTATTTTAAGTTGGGAGATGAAATGAACATAAGATTTTACATGCTCAGTAGTCAGTAGGCAAAATGTGCATCCATTGCTGAATGCTATAACCTGAACCTAGGAAGAGTGGTCTAACCTGAACCATGGCTTACAAAGGACAATGGGCATGCCAGTATAGAAATGAAATCATGAGCTTCCAATCAGTATTTTTGATCTATTTTAAGTTGGGAGATGAAATGAACATAAGATTTTACATGCTCAGTAGTCAGTAGGCAAAATGTGCATTGCTGAATGCTATAACCTGAACCTAGGAAGAGTGGTCTAATCTTATAGATTCAGAAGACTCCTTTTTGATTGGGAGATTGAGTGTGGAACTATTGACAAAATTACAATCAGTGGAAACCCATAGGAATGGTGTTTTCTCAGTAAAATCTTTTTATAATGCTTCGACGAGTAGTCAGGTGGAGAAATTGGATGTTAAGGGCATTCTGGGGGGGGGGAATCCTGTACCTCAAAGAGTGGAAGCTTTTGCATAGTTGGTGTCTTTAGACAGCATTTTTACTCAAGACCATATTAAAAGTAGGGAAATACAGATGGCGGGGAGGTGTTATATTTGTCTGGCTGAAGAGGAGACTGTGATGCACTTGTTTTTTAGATGCTGTTTTCAAAATATTTCTCGGGGTACTATTTTAACCTTTTAGCCATGATATGTGGAATCCAATGTCGCTTAAAGAAATTTTTGGTTGTTGGCCTGTTTGAAGGGGAATAGAAGGGCAAAGATTGTGTGGAGTTTCATCCCTTTTGCTAGAAAGAAGCAGAAGAATCTTTGAAGACCAGTCAAAATGTTGGGAACTAGTTGTCTTTCTTGAGCAGAAAGGGATTTAGGGACCAGATTTTGGTTCTACCAGAATTTGAGGGGGATCACAAAGGAAGATTTTGGTTGTAATTTTTGGGCTTATTTGGTTTTGGGAGATGAAAACCTTGTTTTTTTTGTTTATTATTTGTGGTGATTCCTCATCACCTCTTGGATGTTCTCTTTTATTTTTTGATTAATAATTTTTTATTTATTACCAAAAAAATCCCCAACATAAAAAAGATGGTTAAAGAATTGGGGATCAGTTACAAGTGGATCTCAAGATCATATCATGGATGATACACTTGCAAGACAGGTGGTAGGTAGTGGTCCAAATTTGTAATATGAGATAGGAAAAGGATGGACAGCAGGGGTTGGGCCAATGAAAGGGAACCTGGGCTTATCTCATTTGTACAGCATTTTTTTATATACTTATGAATTTTGACTGTTATGGGTAAAAAATGTATATTGTTTTCTGTATCTGTAATTCTGTATTCTTGCATGTGCTCAGTGAAAAATATCTCATGGTACTAAGAGAAAACTATATGAACATGTCAGAGTTTCTTTTCTATATCTGTATTCAGCATTTTGTATAGTATTGTGTTTTAGGAGTATATTGATATATTTCTTTTCATCATTCAGGAAGTTTGAGTTCTCTTCCAATACAAATCTAAAGATCATTCACTTATTAACCTTTTCATCCTGCTTTTGTCAAGTATTGCTTCCAGAAGCTATTGTTTTAAGAAATTAGTTTCTTTGCACTCTTGATTTTTGTTCATGGTGTGGCTTCCATGAGGTTCACATCTCATCTTAATGTCTGGATATTTTGGTATTCTCCAACACAAATTCATGATGATGTATAGTTCTACTGTTTCAGTACTTTTGTCCTGCTTTTTGTCAAGTACTTCCAAAATTCATCATTCTGAAATTGACCTTTACACTATTTTATTTTAAGATGTTTCTTTCTGACATGTTGCTTACTAGTTACCATGGTTTGTCATTAAGAAATCCACATCTAACATTTATGTCTATCCCTTGCTTCCATTTATGGTTTTGGCAACTTCTTATTTGTTGTACCTTTGATGTTATTTTTTTCCTGTTACCTTGTTAACTATATTTTGTTCAATGGATCATGACAATGATTTTAGTACTGAGTGGTACATTGTTTTATATCATTGTTGCAGAAGTTAACAAGTTGCATTTCAAATGGATGAATACACTGGAAAAAAACCTGTTAGTGGGCCTGGTATTTCGAGAAGAGGGTCTGGCATCACTTTTAGAGATGCATCAAACCATGAAAGTCGAAATGTTCAGTACTGCAATCGACTAGGGTGCAGCAGCAGACTTGAATCCATAAAAGGCAGCCAAATTGGCAGTTCTGATATGCCTAAATATTCAAGGCACTCACTCCGTTCTGCAAGTGGCAAGACATTAGTGGGAAGCTCCTCTAAGACATTCTCTACTGTTGTTAGTGGCCCTAGAAAGTCTCACCAGGAACCCAAGAAACTTTCTTCTCATAAAGAAACAGTTCTTGATGAAACTACTAGTGAGCTGGTAGAAGTGAAAGCATCTGAATCCATCCCTTCAACTTCAGAGGATCAAACTGGGCTTCTTGAACCTGAGGGTGCAGAATCTGGAGTTCCCACTGGCATTTCTACAGATGTACCAGAGGAAGGGAGAAACTGTAGTATAGCATCAAATCCAATATTTCAAAAGCAAACTCATCAACAATCTGGTTCAAGCAATCTGGATTCTTCTTTGGGTCCCTCTGTTCAGCGTGCTGTTAATTCTAGAAATACAAGCAAATTTGCAAAACCTGTTTCCCATGGTCATTGTTCTAACCAAAGTAGATATGGACTCAGAAACCTAGGATGCACATCTGTAACTGCTATCCTCCCATCAGGTTCTTCTTCAGACCTGAACCGAAGTAGGCCTGGTTCAGTAAAAAAGAGAAACACTGATGGGGAGAGTTCTGCTGATAGAGGTAAGAATGTGAGGGGGTCATCAACTGGAGTAAATACAAGCTTTCAGAAGAATTCCTTGTCCAGTCCTAGCCTCTCTCTTTCTGAACGTCCTTCTCAACAAGCTTCAAGGAGGAGTAGAAATTTGCACCTGAGCAGGGATAGTGTTGCATCAGTTAGAGCCCGAAGGACAACCAGTGGTGAGAATAGGCCAAGGCTCTCTGAACATGGCAGTAGAAATAGATTATCCCTGCCTGATCATTCCATTGTGATATCACAGTCACCACAAATTGAAATGCCAATCAGTGGGATCACTCATTCACCACAACAATCCCAAGCAGAACTTCCTTCCATTTGCCAGAGTACTAATGGGCGATCAGGTATCAGCAGTGAGAACATACACGGTAGACAGATTTCTCATCCAGATGATGGTAATGCCCGGGCTTTCCGTGGTTTTTCTTTGGATCAGGATGGTTTGAGATGGTTCAACATGGATGGAATTGCGGAGGTATCAATGTTCATGGAATATTTAGAGCATGTTAAAGCATTTATGAGCATTTTGTTATACTGTATTTATAATTTGTTTAAGATACTTGTTACTTGTTTGTGAATAGTTCACTTCTTAGACTTCAACTGGAAAATTATGGCTGGAATGAGGTGTTCCAAACTGAAATGATTTGGACATTCTGCAGGTATTGCTGGCACTCGAGAGGATTGAACAAGATGAGGAGCTAACATATGAGGTTGTTCATCTTTATGCTTGAATTTTTCGTTTTGATAAATTTTCACTGAAAATTTTTCCCTTTTTCATCTCATGTAGCAATTGTTGATCCTGGAGACAAATTTATACCTGGGTGGCCTTGGCTTCCATGATCAGCATAGAGATATGAGACTGGATATAGATAACATGTCATATGAGGTTTGCTATTCCTTTCGCTATTTTTTCAAAAATCTTCTTTCTGCCTTTTGTTTCTTGAGTGACCAATGTATAATGGATTGCTCAATATCTTGTTCATTAATGTCATGTTAGAAATAATAAAATATAATGTAGGCACAAATTGAGATTTCCAGTGCTTGAATTTTGAAATCACCAAGTTCTATTCACACTAATTCATCATTAGCATTGACTTTCTTAACAGGAGTTGTTAGCTCTAGAAGAGAAGATGGGAACAGTCAGTACAGCTCTTACAGAAGAAGAATTGTCAAAATGCCTTAAGAGAAGCTTCTATGAGCCTGCAGTTCCAGGTGCAGGGAGTATGGGCATTGCAGATGATGATATTAAATGTAGTATTTGTCAGGTATTCCTTGTTACCATTGAACTCCGATGATATGATGCACGATGGGATAATACCAACTTCTTAGCGTGAGAGAGAGAGAGAGAGAGAGAGAGAGAGAGTTCCTGTCACAGCGGGACTAAAGATAAAGATGCTCAGATCTTTGACTAGATGTTTATCATCGTACCATAACTTGGAATGCCGATACTTGCCTATGTTTTACATCAACATGACCATTCCAAAATTTTAGTCCATTTTCTTCTCTCCACTCTGTCCAGTCTCTCAGCCCTTGCCTGTGCTACTCAACTTGTCTGTTAACTTCATTGTGGTGGTTCTCAGTGCCTTTACTGAAATGTATGCCATATGTTATAGAGAAGACCATACTAACATTTGGAGCATTTGATGGTTGCAGGAAGAATATGTTATGAGAGATGAGGTGGGGAAGCTAGGTTGTGAACATTGGTATCACGTGGTATGCATCCACCAGTGGTTGCGACAGAAAAATTGGTGCCCTATCTGCAAGGCTCCGGCAGCACCCTCCTAATTCCCTTGCAATAATTGATCCTGTGGCCAACATCCCCTTTTGTACAAATCTTGTGCACAGCCTTCGTTTCTCTTTCTATTCTACTTGTTCTTCAATTTGTACATATTATAATTCTCTTTCATCATCACCAAATAAACCACAGCTTTGAGAACCTTGTATGCCATTTGGTCCTGGCTCAAAAGTGGGAAAACCATCCAGATATCAAATTCAGTAAGAATGTTCCTGAAAAGTTTGCATTTCCTTACAACTTTTCACTGTTGATAAATTATGATCATTGATTTTAAAAATCTTGCTGCAATTTTCTGTGGGTTTTAAAATCGTATATACTTCCGCTTCACATTTTTAACTATTGCTATGATAAGATCATTGATTCATTTCTAATTAATAAAGTTGAACCCCCTGAATGTATTGGTTATATAGTTGATGTGGAAAAATCCTTGTATTCCTTTGTGTTGAATGGAGTCAGCCTTTATGGCTTTCAAAAATTAAAAATCTAATTAATAGTGACAGACTTTTGTCTTGTTTTAACCTGGAGTGCAAAATTTGCAGTGGTTAGTGATGTGAAAGAACCAGTGTTGCAAATTTTCACTAGTACCGGGGTAAAAATATCTCTATGTTTCATGCGTGCAAACTTGAACCAGGTAGGAATGGAAACGGGTCGGGTTTGGGTGGAGACCACTCCGAATTCACATCTGCACCCTACCCTGCATGCACTTCTGAGTGTGTATTGGGAACATCTCCCGTACTTGTCATTGGAAGATGTTCCCAATGCACAGTTTGGATGTGCTGTGGGGTGCCTGTGGGGCGCAGATGTGAACTCCCTCCTCCCGTCCCTTGTTGCTGAATGACCGTCTCAGTCCGGTTCTTGACAGTGTGAAAAATTATCTCCCATACCCGTCTCTGATGGGGATCCAATCCCTCATATTTTTTTCCAATAATAAACTTATTTTGTCCTAGAAACAAAGGAGAAGATTTAACCTGTCTGGGGATCTGCTGCAATGCTATTGAACAGAGGGAGGAGTGGGACTGTCCCGTGCCAGTTCCTGAATTCTATCTCTATCATGGTCGCCCCAATTTGTGGGAGGTGGGATGCAGCACATCAGCATCACAGTAGGTGAAGTTGGTTAGAGATAGAGGACTGAAAGGCGGAGGCTCGGGTTCCTTTCAACTTCGAAGGTCAAGGTTGAGGTATTTTTGAATTTGAGGGAAGTGGGTCGTGGTTATGACTTGCGGCTGGGGTAAGTTGGGGTGAAGATTTTTTTTTGCAAAATGGCATCTAATGATAACAGTAGTTTTATAATCTTACAAGGTTTATGGGTTTTGACGTTTTAAGTTTTTCTTTTGAGTTTTGATTTTAAGTTTAAGAATTCTGAAAAAATGATTAACAAGTAATAAATAAGAGTTATTAGATCATTAAATAATAATTAATAAATAATAAATACATTTCTGTAATTTTATATTAGGTCGGCTACATGAATTCTGTTTTACTAATCCATTCTATTTAAATCCATATCCGCTAAATTGTCAGAATAGCCTTAAGAACGTGCCAAACAATGTACACAAACAGCGATTGGGACCCCAAAAGCATGTCACGGCAAAGCCAAGGGCACAATGGTTTGAGAAATAGGACAATGAAAGTAGGGACGATGAATCGGTAACTAACACTTAAAGGACGCGTGTTGAGAAAGGGAATACCCTAAGTACTATAGTTCCTTTGAGAACACGTGGTGAAAAACCCCCACCTCGACATGGTAGTAAATGTTAATCCCCTTGGGAGGTATAAAAGGTAGCAAATCGATGTGATCCCAAACTCCTAGGAATAGTTGTTGGATAAGATGACCGAATAAGAACTTTATAAAAATAGAAGATGGCATCCAGGAAAATGATGGTTGTGTTTGATCACAAAGATGGCATCCAGGAAAACGATAACCTCAATAGAAACCAATCTCTCTCCCATCATTGAAGAACCGATGGGAGAATACTCCCAGGGCATAGAATTCCGTTATGAATATGACAATGGCAAAGGCGTCGAGATCCTCGTTGACACGGTCCATAGCCTCAGTGATTGGGTAACTCGCATTGAAAACAAGTTGGAAAACGTTGTTGTTGCCCTCCGGAGAGTAGAGAAGATCGACAATCCTGAACATCAATAGGAAGAAATCAAAGAGATGATTCGTTAACTTAGCTGTTGATACTCAGATTGGCCGAGGATAACACAGTAAATTTGCTTTGCTCCATGTACGAGATGGCTAGAGGACGGATTCAAGGGACGCTGAGGCTGAGGGCCAGAGGAGCTCAAGGTACACTGCAGTCGAGGGCTAGTGAAGCCTGCCCGAGGTGGGCTAATGCCGAGTACCTGCAAGGAAGAGAATGCCAGAGGCCACAGGTGATAACCCAAGGTGGGGACACTGACAGTCAAGCTAGTGTTAGACAGTTATGCCCTTAGTTCGAATCAAATTAATGTATCTTTTGACATTTATTGTAAATGAATAAAGTACATAATTGATTCATGTCATTGTGGTGTTTTTCTATGTAATACCCTTAAACTGGACACTTACGAGACTCATGTTAGTTTATAATCTTCACAACCGTTGGATAGATCTGGGGAGATTTATTCTACTAAGGCTGACACTGATGTACTGCCAAGTTGGTTGGGGCGGCTTGTCTTAGCTGCCAGGGTGAGACCTGAGGTACATGCATTGTAGATTTTTTTGAAACCCTGGACTGGACCAAAATTCAAGTATTGCCCTGGACCTTGGAGATAGATGGGCAAAACTGGAATGTTACACCTGACCCCTAGACTCGATTATGGTACTGCACTAGGTGTCAGATCGGATGTCTTTGATATGCCAATCAGTGAGATCCTTAGAGGGGGTCAAAACCTGGGAATGTTGGGACAGTCCAAGAAT